TGTTTTTCTCGTTGCCATGTTCCCACCAATAACGTAGCTCCATTTTCTGCCTTTAAAAGCACACACAACCCACAATTCCTCTATTCGCTCCGACGAAGGGCTAACGCTCGAAATGTCAGCTTTTGTAATCGTTACGGTGGCCAATTTACCATTTCAACTTTGTTGATATATCCAAATTATTTCGTTACTCCCACCGACGCAGCCCCAAACAGTTTCTTTCGAAACTATCAGCCTTTAGTCATTGGAAACGTTGAGAGAGTTCATCATCCAGGAGGCAGAATTTCGGACAGAAGCATCGGAAACAATTCATGGTCTTAGTAAGAAAGGACTTAAGAAGGACGGTGGAGTGACCTTTTCCGGTAACACGCAGGAATCTTCAGGAAATCACACTGCATAAAATTTTCTGTATAAGGACCCTTCCTCGGGGCGTATACAGTCAGTATACCCAATTGTATACGGTGAATATAACGATGTGTAAGGTCCGTATTCTGATCTGTACACATCAGGGTATGCTAAGAAAATACCAGGACCGTATACACATGTGGTATGATTTCTTATATTTCAGTATTCATGCCATTATACATCATAAATAATGTAATGTGTGTGACATGAGATATACTGGTATGTATACTGGGCTGATATACGGGTTCTTATACTTCATGTTGAATTCCTCAGTTGTAGCTTAGGGTACAACCCGGGGTATGTACATATTGGACACTACTTTGAGACGAATATTAATAAATTCTGGGATTATCTACGGACTGATATGTTTTTGTTTGGATTTATTGCATTTTGGGGCTGAATCAATCCAATTGTAAGAGCCAAATTAGACCATGTGAAGGGTGAATTTGAAAAAATACTGGAATTTAAGGAGAGCCAAAACAGCCCGAAAAATTCAGCCCCAAAAACTTCAGCCCCCTCGCAAATGGCCCCTTTAAAAATACCCAATATTTCAACTCCAATGCAAATCAAATTCAGAAGTAAATGGCTCTTTCCTCTGCGCACTGATTTCCCTCCTTTACAGTCAAATAATGAATATACACTGCATACTTTATCTTTCAAATACTCATTTAATCAATTGTAAGTATTGTTACTGTTAAAACCTTTTAGAGACCATGATTTTAAAGTCATGAAAAATCTTTATTATGGTATAAATGGACAAACATCATTTGAAAGAATAGAGCAATAAATATATACACATTTTTAACTTTAATGCAACCATTTTCTAAAATATATCTCTTCACTAAATCAGTATACTTCTCAAAATTGCAACCATTGCTAGAAATTACACACAAGAGACACTTGTAGGTAAAGCATCCCTTTTCAATGACTCAACAAACGTGGTATGAGGCAGCTTATAACCAAGACTGAGTGAAAATTATTAAAATAACACAACAGCAATAAATGGTCCTGCTCCTGCACAAGAATATAGATTTTGTTTGATTTGTGCATCTGAAAAACAAAGAGTCTTGGAACAGCATTGAGTATTCTTTCAGTGGATGTGAAAATACATCCCATTTTACATTATGAAAACATTAACTTTCATCATGTACTACCTCAGGCATTTGCCAAGTCATTGAAAAACGAGGAAACAGTAACAAGAGTCTGCCCGCACCCAATTTCAAGTACTGCTTGCTCTAAAAAAGTAAAAATTGCCTTTGATTTTAGGAGACATTAAAAATATAAAATGAGCCAAGTAACCCAATGACAGCATCAATAATTCCTTCTTGTAGGAGCTGACAAATAATACTATATTCAGGACTATATTCAGGAGATCAATGTTATAAAATATCTCCAACAATAACAATTGGTGGCAGGATATAATCTATAACTACCGGATCAACATCAGCCTCTCTGCAACAAAAACAAATTTTACAACTAATATATTAAAAACAAGTCAAAGTGCAAAGGAACATCAAAATTACTAGCTAGTCTGCTATCTTCAGTTGGTCCATTTCCCCCTCATTTACTTTTACTCAAATGTTATATATACATATATGTAGGATGTTTTTCTAAAACTAGAAGCCAAAGCATTAAAATGGAAGTGGGAATTTAGCTCAATGCTTATAGTTTGTTTTCCCTTCAAGCCTTGAATGAATACTACACGACTCCCAAAGTATCTGTGCTCATCACAAATGTATATGTGGGGTGTTCAACCATCAGGAAAAAAAAACAACTATTGCATGTGCAGTATTTATCTTCTGGTTTGACTTCAGTAGGATTAAAAAAAATTCTGCTAAATCACAAAAATGTAAAAATAGAAAGAAATTAAATACAACCACAAAGTACTTGAAGCTTAGTATCTGGACTTCAGAAGCAAATGGGCTCAGTAATTCTAGTTGTTCTGTAGTATTTTTGCTCCAAAGTAGCAGTGTTTAGAGACTCCTACCTCCAAATGGTTAGAACTTCATCTTGAAGTCCCCTTTTCTTTCCACTCTACTGTCGCAGAACTTTGCTGACGACCAGCAGGGATGTCAATTATTTTTAATTTCTGAAATTTGAATACAGAAGAATTTACTCTTGTGAAAATGGGAGACATTAATTAACCCCTACATAACAGAATATTGTC